ATTTCTGAAAAATTTCACAAAAATATATTCTGAACTGTTAATGACACCAGTATCGTACTACTAGTTGTCAAAGAAAATAGACAGTATATTACTACTATCTGTCAAATAGTATATAATCACTATTTGTTTTTCCAACCAGAATATTATTTTGTACAACCACAGAAAATAATTTCCTTAAAAGAAGAAAGAGAAAAGGAAACAAACGAAAAATTCTGTAAACAGAATAATTCAAATATGTCTTAAGATTGTTGGAACAATCTTCTGTGTAAATAAATAAAATAGAAATTAAATCAAACAAAATAAATAAATAGCGTACCGGATTTATTTTGTCGAACCAAATAAAATTAATAGACCAAGTCGAGTGTGTGACACTATATCCTTAAGACAGATTCGCCCCGCTACGGTGCTTACGGTTGAATGGCGTCTATCCCTCAGGATACAATGATCTTAACCAATTTGTAGTAGCACTCCAAAACAAATTGTTCGGCGAACCAAACCTGTGTTCTTACTCTTTGAAAATTTATTCCTAAAACTAATATGAAGAATAATGCACCAAAGATAAAAGTTGGACAACACAAAGGAACTTCACAGACTGAATTTCGGATACTTTAGACTGCAAGAAATGAATCTATATATAGGCACAAAAAGAGACCAAAAATCTGTCCCAACAGGTGCATAAACTACCGAACAGATGTGACACTGTTTTGAACAGGTTTTGTTTGAAAATTGAATCTGTCCGTTGCATTGAACAAATTTTCAAACAAAAGGATTCGTTGGTTGGTTGGTGCAGTTTTTCAAACCTGTTGGAACTTTATTATTTAAACTATTTGGAATATATATATTAAACTTTTTGAATAGTTTAATAAATAAAGGAAGAGGTACAAACTTTAGGAAACCACTTAGGAACCCAAAATTGGAATTTAGAATTAAATTAAATTCCCACAATTACAAACTTTAGGAAACCACTTAAGAACCCAAAATTTGAATTTAGAATTAAATTAAATTCCCACAATAATTTTTATTCAAAAAATTCAAATGAATTTTATCTAAAAAATTAATGTTAGACCCGAAAACGACATCAACTTTCCATTTACTCATAAATGGTTTTGACGTTCCGTCTTCACCGTGTGACTTGCCACGCGGCAAAGAACACTTCACCTCTTCGAACCCACCCCAAAAGATGTACGGGGCCCACTCAATTTTGGGCTTAGAGTCAGCCCAAAATATGCCTATATTAACCATTTTTCCAACATTTTCCACATTTATGTACTTAATTTTCTGTTGCTGTCAAGTAGGGAAGTTCACTACTTTTCTATTTGATCTGCCACATGGATTATGTTAGAGATGTATCTGTATGTAGGTTAGATTAGATGATAGAAGTGAAAATGCTTACATTTTTCATTGCATGAGTCTAGCTAACTTGGTTAAGAGCCAAATTTATTGAAATATTTCTAAGAGTGTCACGAAAAAATGATAATGCCTTAGAGATTTAGGGCTTTAAGTTTATAAGCTACTGTTTGATTTGTTCACAAGTTGCTGCACTTTATAAGCTACTACCTTTGTTTGGATGTGCATACGGCTAGGCAAGGTTATGTTCTTGTGTGTGTGTGTATATATATTAAAAATAACTTTCTACAACATGCAAAATTATGTCGTGAAAAGTGTAATGATTTATGGCATGTAAGAAAATGTCGTAAAAGATTATATACGGCATACAGAGTATGCCATAAATATATTAAAAATAACTTTTTATGGCATGCAAAATTATGCCGTGAAAGTGAAATGATTTATGGCATGTAAAAAAAAGGGGTTTTTTTTTTAAGGTCCTTGATATTATGATTTTATAACATAAAGGACATCAAATATTTTTATGATGTCTAAGGTCCATCAACAATATTTTCATAATGTCTAAGGTCCCTCAACCTTGATCTAGAGAAATTTCAGTCCAGAGAAAATTGGTCCAGAGAAATTTCAGTCCAGAGAAAATTGGTGCAGAGAAATTTCAGTCCAGAGAAAATTGGTCCAGAGAAATTTCAGACATAAGGTCCCTCAACCTTGATCTAGAGAAAATTGGTCCAGAGAAATTTCAGTCTAGAGAAAATTGGTCCAGAGAAATTTCAGACATAAGGTCCCTCAACCTTGATCTAGAGAAATTTCAGTCCAGAGAAAATTGGTCCAGAGAAATTTCAGACATAAGGTCCCTCAACCTTGATCTAGAGAAATTTCAGTCCAGAGAAAATTGGTCCAGAGAAATTTCAGACATAAGGTCCCTCAACCTTGATCTAGAGAAATTTCAGTCCAGAGAAAATTGGTCCAGAGAAATTTCAGACATAAGGTCCCTCAACCTTGATCTAGAGAAATTTCAGTCCAGAGAAAATTGGTCCAGAGAAATTTCAGACATAAGGTCCCTCAACCTTGATCTAGAGAAATTTCAGTCCAGAGAAAATTGGTCCAGAGAAATTTCAGACATAAGGTCCCTCAACCTTGATCTAGAGAAATTTCAGTCCAGAGAAAATTGGTCCAGAGAAATTTCAGACATAAGGTCCCTCAACCTTGATCTAGAGAAATTTCAGTCCAGAGAAAATTGGTCCAGAGAAATTTCAGACATAAGGTCCCTCAACCTTGATCTAGAGAAATTTCAGTCCAGAGAAAATTGGTCCAGAGAAATTTCAGACATAAGGTCCCTCAACCTTGATCTAGAGAAATTTCAGTCCAGAGAAAATTGGTCCAGAGAAATTTCAGACATAAGGTCCCTCAACCTTGATCTAGAGAAATTTCAGTCCAGAGAAAATTGGTCCAGAGAAATTTCAGACATAAGGTCCCTCAACCTTGATCTAGAGAAATTTCAGTCCAGAGAAAATTGGTCCAGAGAAATTTCAGACATAAGGTCCCTCAACCTTGATCTAGAGAAATTTCAGTCCAGAGAAAATTGGTCCAGAGAAATTTCAGACATAAGGTCCCTCAACCTTGATCTAGAGAAATTTCAGTCCAGAGAAAATTGGTCCAGAGAAATTTCAGACATAAGGTCCCTCAACCTATATGTGTAGGACCTTAGACATCAAAAAATAATTTTGTGGATCTCTTCCATTACGAAAAGTGGGAGAGGGATCTTAGACCGATTTCCCCTAAAAAAAATCATAAAAGATCATATACGGCATACAAAGTATATTATAAATATATTAAAAATAACCTTCTACGGCATGCAAAATTATGTCATGAAAAATATAATGATTTATGACATGTAAAAAATGTCATAAAAAATTATATACGACATACAAAGTATGTCATTAATGTTTAATTTATTACTTTTTACAACTTTACCAGCATGTCGTAAATGACGCTCAACTTTCCACGACATGGCATATAACGGCATTTGTGTGCATGCCGTGAAAGAGTTTTTACGGCATACATTACAAGATGTAAACATTCAATTTTGTTGTAGTGAATCATGAAGTATACACTATCAGATTCACACCATCACCATCATTAGGGTAGTACAAATTAAACAAATAAATAATATAGGAAAAATTATACAAATAGTCCATGTAGTTTACACGATGTGTCAATTTGGTCCCTGTAGTTTTAATTTGCTCGATTTTGCCTCTTAATTTAACGGATTGTGTCATTTTAGTCAAATAAATAACGGTTATTAAGTTAATTTAACGAAAAGTCAAACAATGTATTAATTTGGTCCATGTATTTTTCACAATGTGTCAATTTAGTTCCTGTCAAAATCGAGAAAATTGAAACTACAGGAACTAAATTGACACATCGTGTAAAGTACAGGGACCAAATTGACACATTGTTGGACCTTCCGTTAAATTAACTTAACAACCGTTATTTATTGGACTAAAATGATAAAATCCGTTAAATTAAGGGGCAAAATCGAGCAAATTGAAACTACAGAGATCAAATTGACACATTGTGCAACTACAGGGACTATTTGCATAATTTACTTAATAATATATATATATATATATATATATTTATATTTATATTTTTGAAAAAAAAAATGCTAATTTCTCACGCAAGTGTTGTGAAAGGAAAAAAAAAATAGTGAAATTAAATTCTTGTGAAGTATAAAGTCATGCATATATGATAGATATGGGCAATACATTTGGGTCTCACGGACCAAACTTTTTTTTTGTCCTTAAAGGCGAAAATTTTGTAGCAAAAATATTATAGGATTGATTATTGCCGTATCAAAAAGTAAAATCATTAGTGACAAAATTTTAAAAATATGATTAATAAATGCACAACAAAATAATTTAATGCTAATAAAGTTTATTTTTCAAGATAAAAATTTTGGTCCAAATGAATAGTAATTCATTAGTAAATGTTCAATTTTATTACTAAAAATATAATAATGATATTTTAAAAAGTGATTTGATCCTTAAATTTTTGTCTCTAAAATCTTAATTTGTCATAATGCAAATATCACGGTAGTATTTGGTTTAATTTTTAAATTAATATTTGGATCAAAAAAGCAAAAAATATGTTTGGTTAATCAATTTTTACAACTCTTTTCAAAATTATTTTTTATCTCTCCTCTCTCCTCTCTCCTCTTTGTTTTTATTTTAGTTAATAATAATAAATAAATCAATCAAATTTTCTTTTTCTTCTCTCATTCTCTCACATTCCACACGTCAATCAATTAAATTTTCTCTCACAATCATCTATTCAACTACAAAAAAATTAAAAAATAAAAAATAAAAAATAAACTACAAATCATCTCAAAACTATTTTCAAAACTTATTAATTAAATAAATTTTTAATTTTCAAAACTCTTTTCAACAACTTATCTTTCAAAATATAATTCAAAACTTAAAATTTATTTCAAAAACTAAACCAAACAGAACATTTTCTTGCAAAATTACAACTTAGGCCTATTTTGAGAATTGACTTTTTTTGAAAAAATATGAAAAATTAAATAAATGGTGTGACCCGAATAAATTAATAAACTTACTCTTTTTTATTTTTATTTTTTTTTCTCTAATTGCCAAAATAGGCCTTACCTTCATGAAAATGGAATCTCCTTTGGGAACACTTACAAACACATCTCCCCCAACATGTTCCACACCTGCATCAAAATGGACTTTAAATGTCAACAACAATTATAATAAAAGTGCTAATTATACTTTTAGTTTGTAAATTATGCATTTTGTGTCATTTGGTTCATAACATTTTAATTCTATCAATTTCATTTCAAAGTATAAAAACTGTCAACAAAAATTACCCTCCTCCAGTGTCCCTTTGTATAAATTTATGCTATTGGAAATATATACTCCTTCAGAAAACTCCAAATCAAATGTCCCACTGGGCTAGAGACTAGAGTTGTGTAAAAAAATTAGAAAAACTGAAGACCACTCCGATCCAGACCAAACTGCTCGGTTTGGTTTGGTTTTCTCACTGCATAGTTTGGCTTGGTTCTTAAAATAGACAAACCGTACTTTATCGTTCAGTTTGTGGTTTTATAGTTACAAATCCGTTTGGAACCAAACTGGACTGTTTAAATATATATATATATATATATATATGTATATGTGTGTGTGTGTGTGTGTGTGTGTGTGTGTGTGTGTTGATTTTCGACCACACTGTCAAACAGGTGCTCAGCTGGAGAACACCAACAGAATAGACTGCGCGCAAACGACCTGTCACAGAAAGATGAGATTCTGGAGGTGGTTCGTCCACCCAGGTGCACTCCGACGATCAAGTCAGTTATCTCTCAAAGATAGCAAAAGTGCTTAACTCACTATTCAGAATACAAAAAGCGTACCTTAGACCCATGAGGGTGCCTTACTTTTATAGTCAACACTGACCTAATCCCCTTGAAGCCTAGCTTCAATGGACTCTGGCTTGATGCTAATCCTGGACTCCAGTTAGATTGGGACAAACTCCCTAAGAGTCTTATCTTTATCCAAACTGAAGTCCTCTCCCATTCTAGGACTCTTGTCCCTTATCCGCTCATCTCAGATTCCGGTATCTTCGCAGATAACCTCGGCCTAGCCGAGATTACCTCGGCATCATGACCAGGACACGTGGCATTTCGGTGCCACCTTGGCCACGTGTTGTCATTCAAAAATTAGTCCCCACAACTGCCCCCTAGGTTTTATTACCTCGCCATCCTGAGGTGATAGAACCTATATCATTTCTTCCATTTAGCACATCGGCTAAGCTCGCTTTATCCTTTATTACCGAGGTCATCATTCGTCGACTCAATATGACCAAGACTTATAGTCTGTTTTCATCAATGCTTTAGAACCAATAACCAAGTTTGTTCAAGTTTCTCAGCCGAGATCATCCCCCTTACCGAGGTCCTGCTCCATTAAATCAAGAACTCCAAGAGTTTCTATACTCGTATGAGTTGTCACTCATAGCAACTCAACCGTTTTTGCCACGTGTCTCGTCCCTATTGAACCGTACCTGACACGTGCCATCAAGTCGCGTCGTATTTGCGTGCACCACCTGACAGACACATTGTCCTAGGCACACTAATTGCATTTTTGCCGCCTTTTTGTGTTTTGATCAAAAACACTTCCCTCTCTCTTCGCCGTTTCACTTTCGTATCTTCGTCTTTGCTCAAGTTCTCTCTCTCTACTCTCCTAAATCCTCCATTGTTTCAAGCTCTCAAGCTCTGCAACCACTCCGTTCACCTCCTCTAGCGAAGCTTTTGATGCTCTTCTACGTTTGCTTCTATCGTCTGACCCCGGCGTACTTCACACCAGTTTCATTTTCTTCAGTGAGTTACTATTTTCCCCATTCTTTAGTTTCATACTCTGTTGCCTCTGCTTATTCGCCATGATGAATACATTCATATTCTCTTGTCTTTGTCTGTGTTTCAAATTTCACCCTTTGTATGCTTAAACATGTTCTGTTTCATCTGTTTTTGGGTATACACACACTCACATGTTGTTCACACTTTTGATGTTCTTGATTTTTGCTTTCTGGGTTCTGAACCAAATACAAATATTTGGTATTCTGCCGCTGTCTTTGGCTTTGTATATTTGTATATGTTTTTTGAGAAATGTTCTTGAATTCTTGTTTGTCTTCTTGAGTCTAAATCATGTTCTTGTTTCTGTTTTGTTGTTGCATTTTGCCAGATTCTTGCCTTCAATTTCCTGTTTCTACATAGATTTTAGGCTTGGGTTTTGATAGAAACCAATATCCCCGGGAAAATTGGAACAAATTTTCCTAGATCTTTAAAATGCCCTAACCCCTGCTTTTACTCTGAGTTTAAGCCAAGGTTCCTTAAACCTTAACAAAACCACTCTTTTCTGAAATCCAACACGTTCCCCACTTAGCCGACGTTATGGGTATGTTCAGGTAGAGGGTAGACACCCCAACTAAGCTAGAATACTTTAGGCAGGAGTTTGCCATCCCTGCCAACGTTCATCTCAGGTTGGCTGGGGATGAGGACTCCATCATGCCCAAAGACGACTCTATGTCCTTCCCGGTAGTAGCCTTCATAGAGTGTGGACTTAGATTCCCTCTTGACATCCTCTTTTCGAGAAGTCCTTCATTATTACAAACTCAACCCAATGCAATTAGCCATTAACTCTTACAGAGTCATCAACGGCATCATTACCTTAGCTAGCCGAGAAAATGCTAGGGTAACTCTAGCCGACATCCGGTACTGCTACACCATGTATGGCCTTAAGTCAGAAAAAGGCAACATTTACTACCTTAAGCCGAAGTCGACGGAATACAAACTCATCGATGACCTCCCTGATTCCAACAAGGGCGCTGAAGACAATTATTTCATCATCTTGAGCGACTGGGAGTTCCCTCCAGATGATGACCTTCACCTTTACCCTTTAAGCCGTACATTGTTCAGAGAGGGAGACGGTAAGAGCCAAGTGTCTTTTTTACTTGCTTTCAAGTCTTTTACTTTAATATTTTTGCATTCTCTAACGTCTGTTTGTTTTATTTTGCAGTTCTTCCTCAGCCACTAAAGGACTTCTGCAAAACATTCTTCCCAAGCAAGGACTTCAAGAAGCTACTGAACTTGCCTATCAATCAGCGCAAGGCTCCTCTACTCCTGAACTATATCCCGACTTACAAACCAATCTTGCCCGGCGTCCCGAAGAAGAGCAAGTTCCCTCCTTCTGCTATAACTCCTGCTACAACTTCGTCACCTCGGCCAGATCAGGGATCAACCTCTAAACCAGTAGAACAGCCATCAACCTTTGTTCCCCAGCTTATTTCACCAGCCCAACGCCAACGCCGATGTCGTGCTTCTACCAACACTCCTGCTGGTAGAACATGTAGCCGAAAATACCAAAGTGCTGAGGCGTCGACTTATGACCCAGTAAATCCACCCACAGCTCTACCAGCAATCCACTTTGGTACAAGGGTCATAGTCGTCGTTGCCGCCGACAAGATGGGTCGTAAAAAGGCTGTAGTAAACGACCTTCTAGCCGACATCCCCAACATCGTCAGCGTATAATCTTCACCATCCCAGTCTTAACCAAAGCCGAAGCCAAAGAGGCTGATGAAAGCCAAAGCCAAGGCAACGGTGACTCAGATCGACTCTGAGGACACCTTGCCGATCTCCAAAATAGCTGAGGCAGAAAAAAGTGCCTTTGCCGTCGAAAAGAGGCCCACCGAGATTGAACCCTCCGACTTCACTAGGTCAAAGAAGCCGAGGTCAGAGTCTGCCACAACCTCGGGGTCCCTGAAATTCGATGCCCCATGGGCCCCTCCAATCACAATCGAGGACAAGCCAGTCAGAGCTGGTGACAGCACGATTGATATTGAAGTCAGCGTCACCCTCTCTACTGCCTTGCTCTTTCCCAAAGACCTCGAACGCAACGTCGAGGCCAGCGAATATAAAAACTTTGCTCTTTTGTTTTTTTCCATTTCTTCTAGGCAATCCAGCGCCCACTCCTTCACAATGCAAGCTTTCGACATCAAGAAGAAGTTGACCCGCAAGACCAAGGAGGCTACTGGTTTGCTCAAGACCATCAATAAAGCCGAGGCCAAGATGAAGACATTGATAGATTAGGCCAAGGCAGCTAAAAAAGGCCAAGACAAGGCCGAAGAGAGGGCAGGCGCTACTGAGGCCATCGATGAAGTTCTCAAAGCCGAGAAGCAAGAGGCCGAAGAAAAAACAGCCGAAGCCCAAGCTGAGCTCAGGGCTGCCTTGGCCACAAAAGAAGAAGAAATTAAGGCGGTGGACGAGAAGGCCTATGTTGAGGGGTCAGCCGATGTCCGCGAGGACTACAAGAAGCAAGTCAAGAAAGCATGCAACAAGGGTTACTCCCATGGCTGGATGGCTACTTTGAATGAGCTGGCTATCCCCGAGGACTCTCCTCTTAAAGACGATAGCCGACTCATCCTGCTATTCCCCCCTACTCCAAGCCAATCCGAGGACAAGGCTGAGTCCGAGGAGGAAGCTAAGGCCAATAAGTCTGAGAAGGCTGAATATGTTGGGGCCAAGTCCCCAACTCTGAATGAGCAAGTCTTAGACTTGACTCAGGATGAGGAGGACGAAGTCTCAAAAGATGCCTCCCCTGGGAAGACAACATCCGACGCGCCTATCGCCGAGAAGAGCATCGACCAGACTCTTGAAGAGATTGACGCCGAGCTCGCAGCTGAGAAGGCTGCCGAGAAGAGTTCCTAGATGTCTTCTGAGCCCCAAACCCAGCTTTTCTTTTGTACTTAGTACTTTTTTTCTTTTCGAACAATGTTTAGCTTCTATTTGGCCGATGTGCCTTTTTGTACTCTGAACAAGTGATCTTCAATGTTTGGCCGAAGTGTCTTTTTTTCCCTTATCTGAATGTCTTCTCTAATTTCTTCTTTCTAGTGTTTTGTATGCTTGTATGCTTTTCTGCTTCCATACTTAGAATATTTTGCATGTCTTCAACTTATGCCTTTAGCTGTATAGTCTCTTGGGATTAACATACTTCGGACATAACTTTCAGTCTTGCTTATCTCGGCCTTGGCTTATCACTTGAAAACATTGTAAAAAATATTTTCACAAGTGTTATTTAAACCACATTACTTTTACTTATCAAGACTTCCGTCTTCCGATATCTTCCAAGTCTTGGCAAAATGGTAATCTCGACAAGTACGTAGGTA